GCACTGAGAATGACTGCTGAGAAGAAGAGCTTCACGCACAAGCAGGTGCAGACCTTCGGCAAGAAGAAGACGGCCATCGCCGTCGCCACGGTGACGAAGTCTGCGCAGTGCAACATCCGCGTGAACGGCGTTCCCGTTTCCCAGATTCTCCCCGAGACGCTCCGCGCGAAGATTATGGAGGCCGTCAACGTGGTCGGGTCCCGCCACTTTGCCCGCCTGCGCATCGACGTGACGGTCCGCGGTGCCGGCCAGGTTGCCCAGGCCTATGCCACCCGCCAGGCCATCGCGAAGGGCATCGTCGCGTACTACCAGAAGTACAAGAATGAGGTGGAGAAGGCGGCGCTGAAGGACAAGTACCTGGCGTACGACAAGTACCTCCTCATTGCCGACCCGCGTCGCTGCGAGCCAAAGAAGTGGGGCCGCCACTCTGCCCGTTCCCGCTTCACGAAGTCCTACCGTTAATCGCCTCAGCGTGATCTCTCTTGTGAGTGCAGATTTATTTGTTTGTTTGTTTTGTTCTTGTTTTTCTGGCCTCTCGTGACCTCGAAAATTAAGACTGTGTGCACGTGTCTTTTTTTTTCCTTGGTTTTGTATGCGTGTGCGTGGGGAGGAGAGGAATGGAGGGGGTGGGGAAAAGGGCGTCGTGCACATGCCACCCCTTCCCTTCCTCTCCTCCTTGTGTTCCTTCCTGTCTCGTTGTTTATTCCCGCATGAAATTTGATTGCACTGCTTTCATTTTTTGTTTCTTCTCTCCACCTGTTTTTTTTAAACTCATTCTCTCGTGGCTGGATAGAGCCGTTTTTTTTTCTCTTCCTCTCCCTCTCTCTGGGTGCGTGTGTGCGTTGCTGCCACTCCGCAAGGCGTCATTGCTGGGCGACAACAACAACGACCGAGGGAGGGCGACGGAGAGGCGAAATGTTGCGCGTTGTGTCGTTGGGCTCGCTCGTGAGTGACCCGCGCTTCTTTCGCCAGCACACGCACGGACTCATGCCGTACCCGGTGGGCTACACGGTCGAGCGCGGCGTCTTCGTTGGGGCCGGCGGGGGCGCCGCCGGGGAGCGGAGGAAGCTGCTGCTCCCCGGCGACCCCGGCGCGGACGCGCACGTGGCGGATGTGTACTTCACCGCCACGATTAAGAAAGGGCCGGGCGGGGCGCCGCTGTTTGAGGTGACCCGCAGCGACTGCCCCGACGTTGTGCACAGCGGCGACAACCCCTCCACGCCGTGGCGAAAGGCGTTTGAGGCGGCAGAGCGGGAGTTCCCGCAAAACGCAGCGGAGCTCGCAAAGGAGAGGCGCGACGCACAGGGGGGTGTGGCGGTGCGGGGGCAAAAGTTGTTTGGGTTGACCTTCGACGGCGTCCTGGAGCGTCTAAGGACGCTGCCGGGCGCCAGTGTTCTCTCTCAGGGCGGGAAGCGCTCTCCACGGCCCTCTGCAAGGGGAGGGAAAAAATCGCGCGAGGGCAGCGTGGCTACGACGAGGGCGGCGGCGGCGGCGGCGACAGAAAAGCCTGCGAAGCGTCCACGGGCACGCACCTCCTTGGAGGGTTCACAGCAGAGCGCCGCGCCGACGGATGCGTCGGCCCCACTGAAGCGGCGACGCGTCGCAAAGAAGGAGGTGAGCCAGAACGACGACAAGAACTCCGCGACGCTTGTTGACGACGAGGATGTCCCCTTCAGTGTGTCTTTGGCCGGGAGACTGGGCGGCGTGCGCGCGCCGTGTCCGGAGTGCGGCCTCATGACCATGTTTTGCCCCATGACGGGCCAAGCCCACGCGGTAGGTGTGTCACAGGGCAACAGCGGGGGCGCTGCGCATGGGGAGGCGGCGGGCAAGGCACGCCGAACACCGCGAAAGAAGGAGGTATCGCCCGCTGCTTCTGCAGCGGCGTCGAAGCGGGCCGGACGCAAGCGACCACGTGACACCGATGCAGCCGACGGAACGAAAGCGGCGAGCGGCAAAAGCTCGGAGAGAGGAGGCGTGGGTAGGCAGGCGGCTCGACGCAAGGCGACAACGTCTGAGACGCCTTCGGCATCCGCGGCGGCAACACCGACAGGTAGCCAGAGGAAGCGGCAGGTTCAGCTGAAGTTGCAGGTTGCTGAGAGTCAAGCGGAGTCGTGCGACCCAGATGACATGCCTTTGACGGTGCGTCTCGCAAAGAGCATTGTGGCGGTGTCTACTGCCACTGCCGCCGCCGCCGCCACCGCAGTGCCTCCCTCACTGCCCGTGTCGCCATTGCCACCACCGCCGCTTTGGAGACCCCCATTGGAGGCGGCTGAATCGCAAAAGGCGGTGCAGGTGCTGCAGCGTCTTATTCGTGCGGAGGAAGTAATCCACGTGCCGTTTGCTGCGCTGCTGCAGATTCCCTTGCTGGCCGCCCCCAAACCGCGACCGGTGAAGAAGAAGAGCGAGCCCGTCACGGCCACCGAGCAGCCCGGGGCTGACGCTGAGGGCGTTGCCGACAAGGACGCCGACGCCGGCGCGGCGGCTGCCAAAATGAAAACGGCGAATAACCCGCTTGAAGGAAAGGACCGACACCCACTGGACGTCGTAGATGTCGCCGTCAGTGTCGCGGGGAAGCGTTACGTGAAGTTTATGCAGCTCTACACAAGCGAGAGGACGAAACTTGACCTGTTGAGAAAAGCTGACGCGGTCCCAGCGGTGCCGAGGACGCATGCCTCGCTTAGGAAGCGAGCAGCAAAGAATGACGAGGAGAATGTGCAACCTCCTCGTGCTCCTGCTGCAAATGGTGGAAGTGATCAAGTGAAGCCGGAGCCACAACAGAGCTAACGATAAACGATGCACGCTGCATCAAGTGACAGACGTAAACGGGGAACAACAAACACACACACACATCGGCAGACAGTAGAGGCATAACGGAGGGGGGCGATGGGGATTAACTAGATGCTGAGACACGCTCGGGATTGCAACTACGGGGTTTCTGCGCCTCTTCTCCTGTCCACGTTTTTTTTCTTTCTCTCTCTTCTCTCTTCTCTCTTCTCTTTGACACGTGTCTCTGACTGGCTAGATGCTTGCTTGCCTGCCTAACTGCCAAGGAGCGCATCTGCGCTAATGAGTTGAATTCCCGCCCTTTGTTTCTTCTGTGGTGGACTTCTCTCTTTGGGTGGGGCACCAAGACAGGTGCGTATCTGCCGCTGCAGCAGTATTGGCAACACTGCTTGACCACGCCGTTCCTTTTGTTTCTTTTCCTTTCTTGTTGCTTCTCCTGCCTCGTTGCGTTGGCTTTCTGGGCGAAAGCGAGGGAGGGGGAGGGGGGAGCGGTGTCTCGGTGCGTGTGGCTGAAGTATCCCAACACACGCAGCGCCCATCCGATGGCCCTCACGCGTACGTGGCCCTGCCTTGCCGTGACAACCTACCGACAGTCGAAGGTCAGTGATCGGTTTCAGCTGCTGATCACAAAGAAGGAGGTGGAGTGCGACTACGTTGGCGTGGATGCAACGGCGCTTGTTGCAACGGGGCTCCGCCTCGCCAAAAATGTGTCGACGGAGCAGCGGCGGCACAAGGAGGTGGCACGCCACGTGGCACAGTCGCTGCAGCAGCTGCTAAAGAAGGTGCGCTGCAAAAAATCCCTTCTGCTCGCCATGGATGGTGCAGAGACACTCTTGAAGGCCGAGCGGACACGGAGCGGCAGCCTGACGCGGAAGCTCGAAAGTCGTCTGATGCGGCTGCCAGGAACCGCCCTCATGCAGGCGGTGGAGGAACGCCTGGTGCGCATGATGCCGGAGCGGCAAATTTTGCCCGTGGAGGTCGTGTTCTCTGGCACGTGTGTTCAAGGCTGTGTGGAGCAGAAGATGTCTGCGTGGGCGCTGGACCTGGCCTCCCGCGACACCTTCAACGGGAGCTCCGACTCACTCTGCCTCATTGGGGCCTCGGAGTTGTACCTGAACGTGATGGCCCTGTCCCCGTTCTACAACATCACCAGCGTGGTGCAGAATAACGCGGACCTGCGACAAATGCGTTTGCAGGATATTCTTGAATGGCTGGAGCTCGATAAGAAGGCGAAGGAAGGGGAGAGCGTCACCATTGCAAAGATGCGCACGGACATCCTCTTTTTGTTTATCCTCGCCTTCGGCGCTTCCTCGACGGAGCTGAACCCCCTGCCGGGTCTGGGCTTCCACGAGTTGGTGGAGTGGTATGTGAAGCTGCTGAACGAGTCCGCCCCCCCCGAGGCCATGGCCTCGCAGAGTAGCACCCCCACGGCGGCGGGGACGACGGGGACGTTTTTGTTTGAGGACGCCCCTGGAAATACGCTGCGGCTCAACCTCCCGCTTCTCTGCCGCATCATGCAACTGGTGACCCGAAGGGAGGCGGCCCAGCGAGCCGATGCGGCCTCCGAGGCGTACCTGGAGCATGCGCTGCAGACGCACGCCATGCTGTGTCTCGGCGAGGCACCGGCGTATGATTACCTGCCCACAGTGCCACTATCGCCACAGGCCAACTCCACGTTACCAGGGCTGGCGCAGTTCACGGGGCACCTGAACGCACTCTGCGGTTCTTCGCCGCACCGCACCGCGCGTTGTGCCGTGCCCCGCCTTAACGCATCAGAGTCACCCGGGGGAGGTGAACCGGTACCGCAGCACCGGCCCCTGACGGCGGCGGAATACACCATACTTTGCCAGTCCTTACCAGCCACGGTGGAAGGCCTGATTCACCAGTACGTTGGCGTCGCCCCAAAGCCGGAGGTGGGCAAGATGATCACCGCAGCAAACACGCTGGAGGCCCATAGAATTGTACGGGAGGTGTTGTCGTACGCGAATCCGTTAAAGCCGCACAAGTGCCTCTGCCTCTCCCCCTCGTATTGCTGGCTACAGAGTGAGAAGACGCAGCTGTGGCGGTTTAAGTACGTCGACATTGGCGTCTGCAGCCATAAGGCGGAGACGCGTCGCCACCGCAACGCCATAAAAGGTGTCACTTTGGAGGTAAACATGTCCCGTGACGGACCGGCGTGCTTTGCCCCTTCCACTGCGACGTGGGAGCCAATCCTTAACTTTCCGTGCGGCGCAGAGGAGCCTCACGCCGCCGCATCGCCGCAGGCGGAGCACGACACAAGGAGTGAGCCACCACCACCACCACCACCAACCGTAGGGGAGGGTAAGGTAAAAACACCGCCGCAAGAAGAAGGGTCTGTAGAGCCCGGGTTGACGTCGCGCCTGCCCACACGCGGCAGCAAAGGGGGGGTTCGAGCAGGCATCGCAAGCCAGGCGACTTTGAAGCTGCTTACGTGGAACGTGATGTTTGACCGCTATAGCGGAAAGCCCACCCCGCTGGGAATGCCTGGCATTGATTGGTGTTCCCGGAAACGCTACCCTGTCCTCGCCAAGGTTATCCAGCAAGAGGAGGCAGACGTTGTGGGCATGCAGGAGGTGGAACCTGTTTTTTGGGAATTTCTGTCGAAGCAGCCGTGGATGCGTGAGAATTACTACTTCTCGTGCGGTTACGCGAGTCCGTCGATTACGCCGTGGGGCGTGCTCATGCTGGTGCACCGCCGACGCTTCCCCGTTCAAAACATCACATTTCTTAACGTTCCTGCGTGGGCAAATCACATTTCGCTAATGCCAGTGGTGCGCCTTCAGATGCCGCACGGGTCCGTGCACGTGGCGGTGGCACATCTTTTGGCCCCGTACACGAAATCCCATGAGACGGCACGCACCTCGCAGGATTCCGCGCTGCGGCATCACATGGTAAAGACATTGGCTGGTGACGCTGTCACGATGGGCGACTTCAACGACTGGCCAACACGTGAGTTCTACATGCCGGCGGAGTCGCATTATGTTGACTGTTGGCCGCTACTGCGCCCGCACGATGCTGGAAAAACAATGGACGAGACGAATACGTTCTGTAAACTGAAGGTGGAGGAGATGTTCTACGGGCGTTCCGATAAACTGTTTCTGCGCAGCCGCCACCTCGTTCCGGTGGAGGGGCATCTCGTGGGCACGAAGAGTGTGAACGACGAGAATGGAAACAAGGACGCCCCTGCGTATCTGTTCCCGTCGGATCACTACGGTGTGAGCATGACGTTTGCGTTAAAGCCGCGGTAGGCCTCCGTACACACACTTCGCGCCGCCACCTTTTATTTTTCAGGGGCTAACCGGACGGAAGAAGAAACACATACATACACACAAAAAAAACATCAACAACCACAACAGCACAAGAAATGCTTCTGCCTTTGATTCACATTCCTGCCTTTTGTGTGTGTGTGTGTGTGTGCGTGTTTGGCTTACAGGTGCTCACGTCTTCATGGATGTGTGACTTCTGTTGCCTTTCTTTTCTTTTCTTTTTTGCTTCAACAGGCCCGCCACGCTCTATTTCTTCTTCTTTCGTTTGGGGTTCTTTTCTATACCTCTTCCTCCCCCCTCCCCCGTGCACACACACACACACACACGCACACTTCGCCTCGTTTACGCATTGTTTCTATTGTAAGTGAGTAGCGCGTTGCGACAGCCGCGTCTCCTCTTTTTTTTTTGCACCCGCTTCAAGTTGCGCGGGGTGTGCGGGAGGGCGCAGTTTTTCCGCGGGTTTCTTGACGGCGGCGATGGTGTCCCGTGGGATTAGTCGAGCCCTGCTGCTGCGCCCCTCCAGCGGCTGCTGGCGCCGCCCTGCACGCATTCCGCTGACGTTCCTGTCGTTCCCGCATATCGTGCAGGCGGCCGCATGTAAATCTCTGACGCTGCACGCGCGTTGTTTCTCCACGCCAAAGGGCGGGGGCGTCAAGGGCGCTGACGCCTCAGAGGACGAGTACGCCTTCGACCCCTCCGTGAGTGTGCAGAAGGACGCGGCACTCAGCATGGCGAAGAAAAGCCTTGATCTCATTGTCCGTGAGCTTCTCCCTGCGAATGCCCCAGACTCGGCGACGCAGAAGGTGAGGGCGTACCTGCAGCAGCATCCCATTGACACCCTCATTACGCAGCCGACGGTGCACATCACCCACGTGGAGGACCCGGACTCTGGCGCGGAGGCGAAACTGTCGCTAAGCCCCTGTGACCTCTCAGAGGCACTGGAGCAGGCCCAAGGGCGTGGGATGAATCTGGTGCAGATGGGAACCCGCGGGGAGGTGGCGTACTGTCGCATTCGCCGTGAGATTCCTCGCATTTTAGGTCTCGTGAGTGCCGAACTCGAGGCCCTGCGTGAGCAGGAGAGGCAGGAGGGGGCCGGCCATCGTGGGGGCCATGACGCGGCAGGAGGCAAACCACGTGAGCTCGTGGATCATCAGTTTCGTGACGTCGTCGATGCGCACTTTGTGGGGTGGAAAAGCAAAAAGATTGTGGAGGACATTAAGAAGCGGCACCCTGTCAAGCTCACCATCAAGGAGTTTCAGTCTCCCGATGCCGCGCTGAGTAAAATGCGGGAGATGTGTCAGGCGATGCAGCGGTATGCCGAGGAGAAGGGGATTTACCACCACTTTACGAGCATCGTCGCAAATGACCGGGAGGTGAGTGTCTCCTTTGTGCCCTCCCTCCCCTCTGCGAAGGGTAGCAGCGCGTGGAAGCACATTAAGTACCCTGGCGAGAAGGAGTGGACGCACGCCCATAAACGCATGGAGGAGGCCTGCCGCAAGAGTGGTCGCCACGGCACCTACATGAAAAACAACCAGCTGAAGCCGCGATCACTGGGACAGACCTTCTTTCGCGTGGATAAGTATGGAAGAAAGATCGAATGAGCAATCACACACTGACTGAGCGTCGAGGGACAAGAGCAACACGCCGTTATTACCGCCACAGTCACCAAAAGGGCGAGAGTGAGTGAGTGGGCGAAGAGGCAGCCAAGGCGAGCTGCATTCTACAAGTGCCATTACTGTTGCACGTGCATGACGTCGGGGGGGGGGGGTACTGGACCCATTACTCTCAGTTGTTAAATATCTATATATATATCTATATATATCTATATATCTGTCTATGTGGTACATGGCAATGCGTACGTGCACAGTGGACGTCGCCCGTTTTTTAATTAATTATTTTTTTCCCTCTTATTGGGCCCTTTTTCTCAAAAGGGGAGCGAGACAATTTGCTTTACGGTTGTAGCGCTATTTGTTCTCTTCTTCTCTTTTTTTTCTGTTGCGTGTCCTTCGATACGCTTTCCTACTTTTTTGGTGGTAGTATTTGTGGCGCTAGCACCACAAGAGAAAAAAAGCAGCAACAAAAAAAACAGGGAAGTACAAGGCGCGTCTGCGGCGCTTGCCGAGTTGCGAGGGAAGGCGCGTGCACAGCCGAGTAGGAGGTGGCGGGAGGGAGTCCGTGCGGTGCAAGCCCGCGTGGGCTACACCCATCTTTTATTCTTCCTGCAGGCGTCTGGGGCCTCCCGTGTGCCGCGCAGCTGCTTCTCCGCGTCCCGCGAAGACCGCCCACCGTCGCAAGGGCCGGAGCGACACATAAACAGAGAACTGCCTGCGCAGTGAAGGGGCACAGAAGACTTTGGTACTGCCGCGGAGCGAGAGTGGGGGAGAAAGAGAGAGAGAGAGAGCAAACCAAAATCCCAAAAGGAAAAGCAGCCACCACCCCAAACAAGAGTAACAGCGACAACAAAATAAACAAACAAAAACACACACACACGCACAAGTCTGGTGTCAAAACGGGGCCTCTTTTTTTTGGTTGGGGGGGGTTTGAATTTGATTTCATTGACAAATTCGTGCCCTTTCACAGGGGGAGGGGAGAGGTGCGTGTGTGTGGAGCGGAGCTGAGGGCCATCCGAGGTGTCGGTGGGCATGGGATCAGCAGCAGCGAAACAGGCGCATTCGGTTTCCCACTGCCGTGCATCGCTGAGTGCTGATGCCAGCAGAACGACCTCCGATATGGATGGGTGGAGCGCCCCACGCCATGTTTTGCCAACGGGTTCCCCTTCCACGGTGGGCGTGCAACTGCCTCAGTTGCCGGCAAAAGCGAACAAAGGAGACGACGCTGATGCACCGCGTACGCACGGATGTGAAACCGAGTCGAACCCGGGGGTTGTGGACGCCGGGGGCGTTCGTTGCCATCTCTCTGGCGTGGAGCCGGAAGAGCACAGGAGGCCGGACGGGAGTGAAGGTGAAACGTGCAGCGAAGAGAAAAGTGAACAAGACACCAATGCACTGCGCGGACTTCAGCCAATGTTGGGCGTCTCCGATTCAACCAAAAGAGGGGCAGCATCTTTGGTTCATCCATCGCAAGTGAGCCTCTTGCAAGCGTTGTGTCAACTGAAAGGGTCTCGGTGGGTTCTGGGACGCCGATGGGGATAAGCATGTCACTTGTGCCTTTGAGAGTTTCTGGAGTGATGAGCGAAGGAAACATTTTCTCGCACAGGTCCGCGAGTATCTACTCGGCAGGGGCCCGATCCACACCGCCCCTGCAATCACTGGGCGATGTCTCGCACGCCTCATTGCGAAGTTCGCGATGGAGCTCGATCTCGTTGCCTGCGTCGTCCGCCTTCTCCTCCTGCAAAAAGGAGAGTGAGTCGCCTCCGCAAACTCCACGCAATAGTGGAGGGGGGAGGCCCCCCGCGTTTTCGACGCGGAGGGAAGGCGAGGCAGACGCACCAGCGACCTTCCGAGGGAACTACGCCAAAATAAGTCCCAACTCCGTCTTTCCGCCCCCGCTGGAGCGGCTCGCCTCGCCGGAGGAGGCGGCAATTAGATTCAAACCCGCGAGGCCCTTGATTTTCTCCGCTGGGGGAGGGCCGTCTGCGCCGATTTTTCCGCGTCAATTTTGCTGCTCCCCCGCCGAAGGCGAAGCCAACAGGCGTGGGACCCCGAGGTTTTCCGCGGAGGACGCCCCAGCAGCCGGTATCTCACGGCCCCCACGGAAGGGAAACAGTCCGGCCCTGCCACCGCCGGCGTTTTCCCTGCCATTGGCAATGTCGGACGTGAAGCGGGAGACCTCCGAGGGCTCCTCCTCGTTAGCCACGACGCAGATGTCGGAGGAACAAAAGGTGAGTGAGCGCAGTTCAGGTTCAGGTTCCTCCGATGTGACCGCTCTGGAGGACCCACTGTCGGGTGGGGAACGCGAAGACACCACCGCGCTCGCTGCACAGCCGCGGGCCCGGACACGTCTTGTGTCGTTTAGCAAAATGGCGGTTTTGTCTGAGTCTGTGTCGTCCATCGTCCCTGCAGATGTGGAGGTGGATCCGAAGCCGCTGCATGAGCTGTCGAACTCGCCCTTACTGTCCGTCGAACGGGCGGAGCTGGACTGCACTGCCGGCGACGTACATGGTGAGGCGAGAAGACGACCGGAGTTGAAGGAGAAGAGCCCAGTGCTTGTCACTGTGCCTCATGACCGGAATTTGACGCCGTTTGACGTTGTCATCTCCCCCGTTCTGGGCCCAGAGGGGAGGCCCGCCGCCACCGACGAGGCAATCGCCTTACCCGCATCCGCAGTCCCCCGTTCCCTTGAGGTGAACATTGTGACCGAAAGCTCCGCAGCAGGGGAGCGACAGGGCACGGATTCAAGCCAGCGGGAGAGCGTGGGGAATCATGTGAGCAACGACAGCTTTAACATTGAAAGCTGCGGCCATAACGACGTTTGCTCCTCACTGCTACTCCATTTGCTACCTGTTATTGAGCGACCGCAGCGGGACAATTTGGCTAGAAGGCATCGTGTTTGCCGACGAATGCCGTGACGCCAGTGTTGGCAACCTTTTTTTTTTTTTTTTCACTTTTCTTCCTCACGGCCCCCGAATCAATCCCGGGGGCGAACGCAGAGACGTATGACGGGAAATTAACAGAGAAAAAAACAAGTGAAAACGGAAACTAGAATATTTAAAGAGCTACATGTATAGGTCATCTGCATGCGGCGGGGAGGGGCGCGGGAGCGACGCCCGTGGACCCAGTCGCTGACGTCGCCCTCGCGTCCCTTTTCGCATGCGTGCATGCTTGTGACTAGGTGTAAATTGTCCGCCGCGGACGAAGGCCTGAAAAGGAGAAGTGGCGCAACTGCGAAGCATCTCAACTGAAGCATAATAATAAACAACAACAACAACAGCAACAACAAGCGAAAAGACAAGAACTTCTTCGTCTTTCGGTATTCCTGTTTCATGCTCACTCGTCTTTGTTTCTCTTACCCTTCTTTTACCTTTCACTGGGTGGGAGTGTTTTTATTTTTATTTTTCGTCGTTGTTTGTGCGTGACACTTCATGTTTGTTTGTTTGTTTGTGTGTGTGCTTGTGCGTGTGCTTGTGCGTGTGTGCCATTTCCACGTCAAGGTTGATACTTTGCTTTGTTATCATCGCCAGATGTCGGTCGATTTTTTTTCTTTGTTTTGCTTTCCTTTGCTTGCGTTGGCCTCGCCTGCGGGCTTTCCTCCATCTTCAGGCCCTCCCTACTCGCCGCATCGTGTCGTATCCCCGCCGTCTACTACTGCGAGTGAGGGGGCTTTGCCGTGACACGGCCGTTCTTGGGCGGGCCGGGGGGGCAACAACAGTCGCTGCAAGGCATGGCGGCGGCGGCTGTTTTTTTTTTTTCGTTTCTCGTTGTCTCGCTTTTCTGCCTGGTCTTCGTTCCACCCCCACTTCCCCTCCTCCCCGCACTCCCTCACTTTTGACTGCATACATGCACGCACGCACACGTGTACATTTCTTCTGCAATTCGCTTGTTTGTTTGTTTGTTTGTGTGTTTTTCGCTCTCTTGGGGGCGACCGGGCGGCTTTTGTTGTCGGAAGCGCCTCCCTCTTCCCCTGTCGACGTGCCCGTGGGGCGTCCGTCGCTGTGCGCACACGTGGGAAACCCTTTTATGGGTCGAAGAAGAAAAATAAAAAGGAAATAAAGTAAAATAAAAGTGTTTATGCAGTTGTAATGCCTACTGCCTGAATTGTTTTTTATTTATTTTATTTCTCGTTACTTTTGTGTGGCTTGGGTTTATTGCTATGCCTCTTTTCACGCCTACCATAACTGTTGCTAATGCTTACTTCTATCGATTCTCTGCGTGTTTGTCTTTGCATCTCCGTTGCCTCGTGCGTGGGCGGTGTGACGCCCGGGAGCTCCGCCAACGTCGTACTCGTCGCGGAATTCCCCCCCCCCCCCACTCCTCCTCGTCGCTGTTGTTGAGTGACTTCAGCGTTCGTCTCCTCTTTCCCCGCGTTGCGGCTCTTTTTTTTTTTTTGGCGTGCCGCCCCACTGGTGTCCCCGCCGATGCACTGCGGCCCCAACGCCGAGGGGGGCGTGGGCGGCGGAGATGCCGGCGGAGGAGAAGACGCAGGGGCCTTCCGTCGCGGCGGCGGCGGCTGCTGCTGCCGACGACGGCGGCACGGCGGTGGGTGACGCGGAGGTGCAGCGGCTGCTGCAGAGCGGGGCGTGGAAGGCGCTGAGGCAGGAGGGGACGGGAAGGACGTATTACTACCACGCGGAGACGCGGAAGACGTGCTGGGATTTGAAAAAGGAGCTTCTGCGGCAGCGCCGGGCGACAGCGGCAGAGACGGCCACGGCGGCAGCAACCGCGCAGGTGCGGGGGCCGACGGCAAGCGACAAAAACGAACAAGGGAGGCAGACGGGGATGAGTGGAGCGGGGCGCGCGGAGGCTGAACCCGGCGCCGGCGTCGCCGTGGAAACTCGGCACATGACGCTGACGGCGCCCGCGACGCCGCACACGGGTGACGCGGCCGCCAACAGCGACAGCAAAGGCAGCAGTGGCCCCAAGGGCGACGACGAGTACCCGACGCCCCTGCCGCCTGGCGAGAAGGGAGGAGAGCCCATGCGGGTGGAGAAGTATAGGGATCCACTGCAGCGTCTCATGGATGAGACGAACGCCCTGGAGCGGCTCATGGTGTCCTCTGGCACTTCCCAGGCGATGGCGTTGGAGTTCCAACGCTCCTACGAGGCGTTGGCCCGCACCAACAAGGCCCTCACCACGCAGATGGTGAAGATGAAGCAGGAGTATGGGGCGATGGAAATGGCACTGCGGGAGGCAAATATTAAGGTGTACGAAAAGGATCTGGCTCTGCGTGCGCTGCAATCTCGGACGCGGGCGGTGGACAAGGAGGATGAGGAAGCGAGAACGCTCCTCTTCCTCCGTGAGCAGAATCGAGAGTTGGTGCGACAGGTTGGTGAACTCACAGTGGTTCTATCGCGTGGGTTTAACGAGTTGGCCTATCAGCAGGCCTTGACCTCCGACCCGGGGGCACTCAACCCAGAACAACTGGCTTCGACTTCTCTGCAGCTGCACCAGAAGGAGTCTCTCGGGACGACGCTGGACCGCGTGCTCACCAATTCGGTGACACAAAGTCTCCTCTGCTCTGCGTGCACAGAAGAATTTGAAAAGTTGCGTGTCAGTCTGCTGCCCGACGAGGAAAAGGCAGTGACCTCACCGGCAGCAGGTAGGCAGCTCTCCACGGCAGGCGCGGGTGGCGAGCACTGCCATCACGCGCAGTATGTCCCCGCCGTTTCAGCGGCCCCGGCATTTAATTACCTTGGCCACCCAGAGGAAGCGACGCAGGCGGGAATGGACGGCGGCAGTGCTGGCGGGAACAGTTCCCACCTCCAACCTCCACCACTACCGCTGCAGCAGCGACGGGGTCAACACGGGGCACAGGCTGCGGCAGGTGCCCAGCAGCTCTCATTCCCGTCGCCGCAGACTAGTGCCGCGCCGTACCTTCACCCGGGCGGCGCCGTCGGGCCGCAGTCGTATCCACGCCAGCCGCAGCAACCGCCCCCTGGGCACGCGCATGGCCGCACACTCTGGGCTGCCCAGACCGACGACGGGAGAAGCGACACATACGCTGACTACTTCCCCAAGGTCTCCATGAACCGTCGATCGGAGTCGCGGAATTCTGTGCTTAGTGCCACGCCTGTTTTTGGTGGATTTCGCATTCGTCCTTCGTATTGATGTGTTTTTTTATTTTTATTTCTTCCATAATGCACGTACTAATTATCGCATGTTCATTTTTTTTCCCCCTCCCCTCTCCCCTTTTTTCTGATTCTCTCCTCATCGTCAGGCCTCTCATGGGGCTCGCAGGGGTGACGGGGGGGGGGGGATGCCGTTAAATAAATCAACGCGAGTGCCGAGAAGAATACGCGAGAGGGAACTGCGAGCCCCACTTTGCGGTTTTCCTTCCGCCTCACCGCTCGAGGGGGAAATGCCTCGTGTCCGTCTGATGTGCGAGGCTTGCAGTTAGCCACGGCTGCTTCAAACGGCAGCGGTTTGGTCTGTAGCAGCCGTCAACAGTCGGGAGTGAAGACCCGTACGCGGCGCAGTATGTGCGGGAAGCAAAGGAAGAACGATACATATATATATATATATTATTATTATTATTATTATTATTAGAGGCCGTCCGTGCAATTATCGATTTCTAACGTTGACTTATTGTGCTGTCATTGTTTTGAGTTATGCATGCCTGGATAGGCGAGGCGCTGCGCATGCGCTTATTGTATTTCTGATGTTTCTTCTTCGTCTGCCTGTGCGGAGCGGCGTGGCGGTGTTGGCGGGCAACGACTTTTTATTTTTATTTTGCCCTCCAAACCCTGGGCTTCCTCATCGCCGCACCGCCACCTCGTTTTTTTTTTGTTTGTTTGTTTGGACGCCTTTCCGCCTCCACACGACGGTGCGCATGACTTTATCGTCCGCGGCTCTCCTCTTCGATGCTTCTGCCTGCGTGTGTGTTTGTGTGCGACTCACTTTGATTTTCTGTAGGAACAGCAGAGGAGAGGGCAAAGAGAAATACACACAAATATACATATATTTGGTGTTGTTTGCTTCATCAGCTCCCACGGCAGCAGCAACGCGGGGTGGGTGAGAGGCACGCCAGACGGGGCAGCGATGGAGTCCGTCACTGGGCAGCAGCAGCAACCACTGCAGCAGGAGCGGGCGGTGGGGGCAGGCGGCGCAGGGGCGCCGCCCACGCGAAGGCGGGGGCGGGGAACGTTCAACCAGCCACTGCGGGCGGACCAGCCTCCCGTCGGCAGCGCCAAGACGACGGCGGCCAACGACAACGCGTCCGTCCTGACGTCGGTCACAACAACTGTGCTGCCGGCGAGCACCCCTCCTCCAGTTTCCCGGGTGCCGGAGGAGGACCTTGCGGCAGAGTATGGCGGACAGAAGCGTGATATCCCGCTAAATATTCGCGAGAACTTCGGCGTGTGCGAAACCGAGCATGAGGCGGACACCGTTCGACAGCTGCTTTTCCGTGGCGAGAAGCGGCGGCGCTACTGCGTGATTGTCGGCGAGCTGCAGAACCCTGCCCGCCCCATCACGCTGAAGCTGTTTGGCCACAAGGGACTAAAGCCTTTTAAGCTGCAGAATAAACTTATCCGGTTGGTGAACATCAGCGTTGGCAGGCCACGGCCCCCGCGACCGGTGATCGAAGGGGAGGGGGAGGACGCGAAGGAGGGCAACAGCGACGCCGAGGAGGAGAAGCAAGGGGGCTCCGACGACGACTCCGACACGGAGTGTCGTGACGGCCACGAGGGCCTCCAATACAACCCCGAGCCGGTGCACAACGTGTGCGGAGAGGATCCTCGGCGCGACTATTGGGAAGAGGAACGGCAACAGCGAGGCGAGGAAAAGAAGGAGGACGCCCCTCAAGAAGATCGTGGCGCAAAGGCGAGGGAAACGTCCCAGAGCGGCGAAGACGTGGACGCCTACGCGGACGAGGACAACGTCCTCCCACTGACGGTGGAATTGCGGGACTCCACGACAACGCACATGGGCCAGCCCTCTTCCATGGCGAACAGCCCTGTCCTTACGGCCACGCGCTTTGACAGACTTCAAAGGTACTTCTTCGACGAGTTTAAGCACCTCCTGAGCTTAGAGGACGTGCGTATGCAGCATGTTTCGATCAACCTCAACCTTGGTGCCGCCTACTGCTGCCTCGCGCGTGAGGGGTCTTACAGCACACCGCTGAAGTACGCCACCTTTAGTGAATTTGTGCAACGCATGAACGAGGAGTCTATGCAGTTGTATTTTCTGAAGGATGCACCAACGTGTGTTTCGCGCGCCGTGGATAGGGAGTGTGGTGCACTGCAGTCAGAGGCTGTTTTTTCGCTTGTGAAAATTTGTTTCTTCTCAAACGAGCGACAGAGCCGCTCTGTGGCGCGCGCGATGTGGGATGCGCATGAAAATCGGTTTGTCTTGTTGGACATGGAAAACGCTGGCGTCACGTTTACGTGGACCGTATTTTCTGTGGACGAGACGGGCGTCGCCGGCGCGCCGGCACCTCCCGCGGCGAGGGGCATGTGGAACCTCGGCGCCGTCGGCGTGGACGGCGGCACCGCTGCCGGCGCTGGCCCGGACGGCGGTGGCGTCATGCGGAAGAAAACCGTGGCGTTCCCGTTTGAGCTCGAGTTCCACGTGTACCGCCGCTGGAAGCAGCACACGGAGCACCCGGCCGCCCCCATCGCCGAGGCGATTCTCGACAAGTTGTCCCTCGCGGAGCACAACCTCATCCACTACGGCTCAACGATTGGCTACGAAAGCATGGACCTCTCGCACGTCTGCGAGGTGGACGCCGAGTCGGAGGACTTTAACGTGGAGAGCATCATTGTGGAGCACACCTCACGCGTGAAGCCGCGGGGGACGGACCTCACAGTCGACAGCACCTCGTCACTCTGGATCGAGAACTTTGCGGCCGCGCGCGCCCTCAAAAACCGTCTTGCGCAGGGAATCATCAGCGCCACCGCGGCGTCGGCAATGACGCGCGAAAGACCACGCGGGCGCGGGGGACGTGGCCCCGCCACGCCGCACGTGCCCAAGCCAAAAACTTTGGCCCCCGCCTCACGCCTGACGTTCTTTCGCGCCCGCAGCAGCACGGTGCACTGGAAGCTGCGCCCCAGCTGCAGCACAGAGGAGAACTTGGCGCCGCTGAGCGAGGCCCTCCGTTTCGCGCAGCAGGTGATCAACACGGCTAATGAGATTGAGCGCACTTCGGTGCGTGGTGGAGCCGCCCCGGACGCCATTTGAGGGGCCGTAAAGGCGAACAAATAACGCCGCACCCAAGGCGGGCAACACAAAACAAAGCAGAAACAAAAAAAAAACAAAGCAACAACAAACACACACACATACACGCAAGAGCGGCAGGAACACCAGCACAGAAGTGGGGAAGAATGGGAAAAAGACAAAAAAGTTGAGGTGAAGGGTGCAAAGGAGGTATGCAGGAGTTGACTTTTTTTTCCTTCCTTTTTTTTTTATTCCCAACCGTCTTACTTATCTCTGCCCCCAATTCCTTTTAATTTTCCTCGTCTTTTCTTCGTATTTTTGCCTTGTTTTCGTCCAGCGCGGTTGTGGGCGCGGGGCGGCTGTTGCATGCGCCTCGCCGTCTCAGCTGGCCGTGTCAATGTGTTTTTATTTATCTTCTGCTCCATTTTATGTTGTTGTTATTAATATTTTTCTTTTCTGCTCCGTTTTTGTTTTGCTCGTCTCTTTTTTTTGTTTTTGTGTTTTGTTTGCTTTTGTTTTCTGCTTGTGTTCTTTGGGAAGTTGCCGTGCGCACCACTTTTTTTTTATATATATACTACTTGATAGGCTAAAGCAAGCCACCAGTGAGCTAAGCGGAGCATAAAGCGAGAGAAGAAGGGCGTCCCCCAGCCCTCCAGAGCCAACGCAACGAATAACGCGAGACGAGGCAAGAATAACAACACGAACACCAAAGGCTAACACTAACAAAGACGTCATGTCATCGGAGGATCCTGCGGCCTTTATTCAACTGCAATCGCAGATTGCGACGGTGAAGCAGGCCTTCAGCAATGCTCTCGCCAGTGAGCTCAACCTTGTGGAGGTCCAAGCCCCACTTCTCTCGCGGGTCGGCGATGGGACGCAGGACAACCTCTCCGGCCATGAGAAGGCTGTGCAGGTGCATATAAAAAATATTCCAGACGCCGAGTTTGAGGTGGTCCACTCCCTTGCAAAGTGGAAGCGGCAGACACTAGGGGAGCACAAGTTTCCCGTTGGTCAAGGGATTTATGTCCACATGAAGGCCCTTCGCGTGGAAGACGACCTAGACAATGTGCACTCTGTCTTTGTCGATCAGTGGGACTGGGAATTGGTGATGCCGCCGCAGGAGCGTAACTTGACATTTTTAAGGAGCATCGTTCAGCGCGTGTACGCGGCGATGCTCCAGGTGCAAGAGCTCGCCTGCGCCAAGTTCAACGTGGCTCCGATTCTTCCGGCCAGCATTCAGTTTATTCACGCGGAGCAGCTGCTGAAGATGTACCCGGACATGACCTCGAAGGAGCGTGAGCGCGCCATTGTGAAACAGCACGGCGCTGTCTTCCTTATTGGCATTGGGGGCAAACTAAGCAGCGGTGATCGCCACGATATGCGTGCGCCGGACTACGACGACTGGTCTTCCCCTGTTTCTGTGAGCGACGGTGGCTACACCACCGGCCACCCGACGATGAATTCCCTGGAGTCGCTGGCGGGGCTGAATGGCGACATCCTTGCGTACAACCCCGTGCTTGATGACGTGCTGGAGCTGAGCAGCATGGGGATTCGCGTGGACGCGGAAACGCTTAAACGTCAGCTCTCCCTCTTGTCAAATGAGGATCGTCTGCAGTACGATTGGCACAAGCGGTTGCTGGCCGGTGAGTTCCCGCAGACCATTGGGGGTGGTATTGGTCAGAGCCGCCTGGTGATGCTGCTTCTGCAGAAGAAACACATCGGGGAGGTCCAGTGCAGTGTTTGGCCGAAGAGCGTAAAGCTGGCCTACCCTCTTCTATAAGACATATGCGCTTTCTTGTCTCTTTTTTTCTTCTTGTTGTATTTTTCCTCTTTTTTTATGTACTTTAAAAAAAAAACTTCTTTATTTTTGTTAAATAAACGTGTCTAGACACGTAATGCGTTGTGCCTGAGGCATTTCTACTCAGCTTTTGTCTCTCTCGCAACATCTCCCCAGTGGACGACAGTGTGAGCAGCGAAACTGAAGGGACCGAACTGCTCATGTGGCTATAAGGAACTGGAAACTATCGCAACAGTCCCGGAGCGCAGAGGCAGCTTCCACAGCCGCTGCTATTGGAATAGGTTCTCTTTACTTGTGTTTCCATTTTTCTTTTGTGCTTCTTTGTTTGCTCCAGGATAGTCTTCACAACGTGGTGTTGCACGCTGCCCTTACACTGGGCCACTGTGCGCTGCAAGTACTTCGCTGGATTCTGTGCGAAATCGCAGGGCGATCGGAGGCTTTCAGTCGCTATTCCATGACTTTTTAAAGGTAGGACGTCATGCGGCCTCGGCACGAGCCAGTCCTCTCTCTCGCCTGGGCCGATGCCGGCAGTTGGATGCGATCCAGTTCCCACTGCGCGCATCAATGAATTGGGGCGCGACGGGACACGATTCCGACCGTTTTGCAGCGGTACGTGTAAGAGTTCTGCGTCACTTTGCCATGGAAACGAGACTGCTGTTAGTATACAGCCCATAGTGTACACGCCTTTGTTTTTTTTCCTTTTTCGACAAAATCTCTCCACTCTCCTTTCCTGTAGGTTTCTCCGCTGTTTTATCGCGCAGCAGCACACATTAATAACTTGCGGCAATGACGAGCATCTACGACTTTCAGGTGAATGGGGCCGATGGAAAGCCCTACGACCTCGCGCAGCACAAGGGGCACCCGCTGCTGATCTACAACGTCGCGAGTAAGTGCGGCTACACGAAGTCTGGCTACGAGACGGCGACGGCGCTCTACAACAAGTACAAGGACCAGGGCTTCACGGTGCTGGCGTTTCCGTGCAATCAGTTCGCCTGGCAGGAGCCGGGGACGGCGCAGGAGGTGAAGGAGTTTGCCTGCACACGCTTCAAGGCGGAGTTCCCCATCATGGCGAAGATTGACGTGAATGGCGGCGATGCCCACCCGCTGTATGAGTTCTTGAAGGAGACGAAGCCCGGTGTCCTTGGCAGCAAAGCCATCAAGTGGAACTTCACGTCGTTCCTCATTGACAAGAACGGTGTCCCCGTGGTGCGGTTTTCGCCTGGAGCCCCAGTGGAGGAAATTGAGGAGGAGCTTTTGCCACTGCTTGAAGCTAGCAGCTGAGGTGTCACTACGTAAGCAGGGACAGTGTGGCTTTTTCTTGTTCTCCTTCTTGTTGGGTGTGATTGTTACTCTTGGGTATAGGAGATAATGCTCTTGGACAGATGGTACTGCCAAAAAGGGGTGGCTGTTCCTAATGGCTCTGTATGTCCATCAGGAGAAATTTGTGTGGAACTTTTTTTAATTTTTTTTTCCTATTGATGAGTGAACGCACGTAAATATTGCGTTCGTGGCACCGGCCGTGGGGATTGGCTGCGGGCGAACTTCTCTTGCTTTATTGCTGACTCCCTGCGTGGTTGGTTACTGTTTTCCGCGAGGGGAGAGAAACGCGTCTGCTTCGTCCTTGTTTTTGCATTTCTCAGCTTTTTCCTTTAATCGTGCAGGAAGTAAAAACATGATCCGTGCCAGTCGATTGCTCAGGGCAGTGGGTATGAAAACCATCTACGACTTTCAGGTGAATGGGGCCGATGGAAAGCCCTACGACCTCGCGCAGCACAAGGGGCACCCGCTGCTGATCTACAACGTCGCGAGTAAGTGCGGCTACACGAAGGGTGGCTACGAGACGGCGACGACGCTCTACAACAAGTACAAGGGCCAGGGCCTCACGGTGCTGGCGTTTCCGTGCAATCAGTTCGCCGGCCAGGAGCCGGGGACGGCGCAGGAGGTGAAGGAGTTTGCCTGCACACGCTTCAAGGCGGAGTTCCCCATCATGGCGAAGATTGACGTGAATGGCGGCAATGCCCACCCGCTGTATGAGTTCTTGAAGGAGACGAAGCCCGGCATTTTTGGCAGCAAAGCCATCAAGTGGAACTTCACGTCGTTCCTCATTGACAAGAACGGTGTCCCCGTGGTGCGGTTTTCGCCTGGTGCCTCAGTGGAGCAAATTGAGAAGGAGCTTTTGCCACTGCTTCGTGATTCCAAGGTCTGAGCGAGGTGAATGCCTCTGCCGTCAGGCGATGGGTGTAGTACAGGAGCCTTGTTTGACAATTTTTTGTCTTTTTTTTGTTTATGACACTTCTGTGTGTGTGTGTGTGTGTGGGTAGCGGGGAAATGTGATGAAGCGGTAACAAGTGGGTTCTGTGGGTCGGCAGAAGGAGGTGGCACTCCCCACACTTTTCCTCCTGCATTTGATATTCCGTGACACACAAATGTTTCATGGCGTTGACGTTGACGTTGGTGTGCTGTATTTGCTTTTCTTCTTATCGGAGGATTGTTGTCTGCGGCGGGAGACAGCCACCGAGGAGTGTGAAGGGAAAGTAGCGAGCATTTGTAAATAAGAAGGGGCGAGGCGGGAAGGCACTCGTAATAAAAAGGGGAATCACGGAAGTACATAGTAAGCAAGGCAGCGGCGGAAATACAGGAGGAGTACGGCGGCAGTGAGACAAACGTGAGTGCGTGTGTGCGGACAATGACGTCAGAAGAGACAGCCACCGCTCACTCTAGCATCTACGACTTCCAGATACTAGACGCTGAGCATCAGTTGTACGACCTCGCGCAGCACAAGGGGCACCCGCTGCTGATCTACAACGTCGCGAGTAAGTGCGGCTACACGAAGTCTGGCTACGAGACGGCGACGGCGCTCTACAACAAGTACAAGGGCCAGGGCTTCACGGTGCTGGCTTTTCCGTGCAATCAGTTCGCCGGCCAGGAGCCGGGGACGGCGCAGGAGGTGAAGGAGTTTGCCTGCACACAATTCAAGGCGGAGTTCCCCATCATGGCGAAGATTGACGTGAATGGCGATAAGGCCCATCCGCTGTATAGCTATTTGAAGCGCTGCCTTACCGGAGCTGCTGGTGTGCAGGCCATCAAGTGGAACTTCACGTCGTTCCTCATTGACAAGAACGGTGTCCCCGTGGTGCGGTTTTCGCCTGGTGCCTCAGTGGAGCAAATTGAGGAGCAACTAATTCCACTTCTTGGGGAGGAGGGTGCCGCTGCTTCTGCGTAGAGTTATTGTGAGATTCTGACACCCACTTACTTCGTGCTCCTTATTTATCTTGATCTATTATGGTTTCCGCCCGCTTTTTTTTTTGTTGACCTCACTCCCTTCTTCCTTCGCTCGCTCCCCGCAGGTTTTGCTTCTTGTCGATTCTCTGCAGCGGCTTGAGGTGAATCACAGACCGCCGTGCTTCTTCACTGTCACATGAAGAAACGAGCATGCACGGCAGGCACGTTTGCAGGACAGTTGCTTGTCCTTACGGTTACGCGTCGCGGGGTCTGTGTGTGTATGTGTGGGTGGGTGGAGGAAGCGTGTGAAGCAGGAGTGTGACTCACGGTAGTTTCTCGCACTCCTACCTTCTGCCGCGTGTTTGTGCGTGGAGGTCACGTGCGTTTCCCCCCCTCAATCCTTTCCTTTTCTCTTAGCTTTGTTTGTTACCTAATTTCCGGCAAATTCGGGCAAAACCCGGAGGTGTGGTGAGAGTGGCGCACATGGGCGCACAAGAGGAGGAGGAGGAGGAGGAGGGGAGGGTGAAAGATTAACAAGAAGAAGAAAAAAACACAAGAAAAGAAGGGAATCGGAAAAAGAAACAAGAAAAAAAAGAAAAAAAAGGAATAAACAGTCTTAAATGTTAAAAGTATAACGAGAGCAATCATGATGGGTGCAGTAGCACCAGAGCTGTGCGTGTGTGTGTGTGTGCTGTTGTTGTTGTTGTTGTTTTTGTTTCTTTCTGTGCTTGTGATTGTTTGTTTGTTTGTTTTTTTCCTTAGTTGTGACTGTGTGTTTATATCCCCCCCCCTTTCCCAGCACTTTCTCGCAGGCTTCTGGGATGCCTGGCGCACGCCGCCCAACAGTTGCAGGGAACTGCAGCTACGGGCTCTATCTGCAATACGCAGCGCTGTATGTTTTATTTGTTGTTTTTATTTTTCTTTTCTGTCCCTCTCTCTCTCTCTTCTTGTCTCCCGCGCCTGTGTGCTCGTCGTGGTCCACGTAGGCTGTAGCGCAAAGAAAGGAGGGGCGGGAAGGAGCTGGGCAGGGGTTGGCCGCTGTAGCATACAGCTGTTCCCGCGTTTTTTTATTTTTATTTTTTGTTTTTGTTTTTGTTTTCTTCTGCAGCGGGTGCGCACGGGCCTCTGGTGTGCCTCTGCAGCATGCGCGGCGGCGGTGTCCTCGCAAGTTGAATGCCAACTGGAAATGGCGGGACACTCTTTCTGCCGGTCGTGCGTGCGGCGGCGGCGCTGTCGGGGCGCCCCTGCGTGGAGCAGGCCGCCGCCAACGTGGGAAGAGCCACCGTCTCTCCTGTTCAGTCGGCAAATGCATTGCGGTCCCCCTCCTCATCACCGCGGCCTCCCGCGCCTGGGGAATGCCACAGCCATCCCCGTCACGAAGAGGCGTCCTGGTGGGCCACCGCACTGCGTTACAAAGCCATCACAACAGAGGCCCGGCAATTGGGGCTGGACGCGCTCCAGCGGGGCGAACTGCGGAGGCGCGCCAAGGTTTTGTTTTCGCTGGAGAAGTGGCATGCAGCTGGTTGCGCCGCCAACGCCGCGACAGTGGTGAAGGAGACACTGGCGGCCATTCTCAAAGAGGAGGTGGACGGCTGCCGCGGCTGGGCGGATGTGGCGAGTGGCGGCAGTTGCCACGTGAGTTTCGTCTTGGGCGGTGGTGACACCGCGCGCGTCGTGGATGCGGCGTCGGCCCTGGCAGCCACACTCCGCGGTCACGGTGACCCAACAAACGCCGATTGTATCCGACGGTTGCTGTGCGCCGTCGCCGTCGTGTCGGCGATGTTGAACCATTTTTGCCCGCTCTGCTGTGCCATGGCCGCCTCTGCGGAACTCCCGCATGCGTGGGCGCAGGCACTTGCCTCCTTCGAGCAGCTTCTCAACGATGAGGGGATCGTGTCCTTTGTTCTGACAGAGGCCGTCGTTTCGGCGGTAGTGTCTGCCAATTCCTTTCCACTGACGATCTTGCAACGCTGCGATGCCCTTTTGAAGGAAACACGAGCGAAGATGCTGCCGTGCCTCGTCCCTCTCCAGCGGCTGTTAGAGGTGACCGATGCGGCTGCAGCTTCCGCCACGGCGGGGGCTCCAGGCCCTGCTCTGCACATGCGCACCGAGGCGCAGCTGCTGGACTTGAAATGCCGTCTACAGGGGGAGTTGCGGGAGCGGCTGGCAGTGGCGTTAGAACTGGAGCAGCGTAGCGTAGAGCAGGCGCAGCAGTTCCGGCAGGCGTGGGACTTGCACCGGATGAGTGCGCGGGACACTCAGTCGTGTGGACCCTGTCTGAGACCTCGAAAGGAGGGCTTTACTGCGGGGGACAGCAGTGGCGCGTCGGCGGGGTGGCGTGTTCACTCAGGCGCTCCACCAGTAGTGAGAGAAGCTGCGGCCGAAACAAAATCAACAGTGAGATGTGAGACGGTTGCCCGCGGGCATGAAACGGCGGTCACCGCATCCTGCTGGGAGCGCACTGTCCTCGAGGTTTGGGGGGCGCGACGCGAGGCGGTTCTTGCAGTGCTGCGGCAACACGCCATTGCCGACAGCATCCTCTTGAAGCGCGATGGGGCCGCGAAGGAGGCAAAGGCGAAGCAGGACGTTGGCTCGGCATGGATGGCCGATGTGCTGCCAGGAGCCCTATCACGTCAGCTTCGCGCCTTGATTGGTGCGCCAGACCAGCATGCAACTCGCCTATTCGTTTCACTGCGGCGGTGGGTCAGGGGCGGGCGTGCCGCGCCGGATGCGGAAGTGTACGTTGCGCGGGCGCTGGAGTTGGTCGTGTTTCTTTTGGTCGCCGACGTTACCGCCGCGCAGGATGACACGCTGCTGCCGGAGTTGATAGAACTTGTGAAGCATCTGGCGGGGGCTCGGGGCCAAGGGGACGCCTCATTGCTCCCCTCACTTCGGCAGCTACCAGACGCATTGGCGGTGGCTCTCGTGGGCGCCGTTCTATCGTTGCCCTCGACGCAGGCGGCCCTTTTTGCGGAGCATCACTCTCACACTGAGGGCGGCCGCCGAGTCCTGTCGAATGTCTCTTTCTTGTTGTGGGAGCTTCACTCCGCGTGCGCCTTGCAGCACGCGGTGTCGATGCTGGGCGCCGGCCGCACCGTTCCGCACGCCGCGGGCGGTGGCGGCGTTATCGCGCCGCCGTTGCCTTCCCTGCAGGGGCGTGCCGCGGCGGTGAGGTTATTAGCCGACGTGGCAAGACGTGGCAGGGGCGCGGGGCTTGCGCTGGGCCCGTCACCCACGCACGACGCCGGATTCACGCTGACGCTCACTGAGCTGCTTGGTTACGGTGCCGTTGCGCAGCTGCAGGGAATTCCTGCGCGTATGCGCCGGCCGCTGCCGCGATTTTTCAGTGAGGCGCTCTGGGAGGGGCTGCTGCCGCTCGCCACCGGCTCGCTCCATGAGCTCCAGCGCATCCACCGCGATTGCGGGGGGGATGCGGTGCGCCGTCTGCTCGAGCTTTGCCGTGCGCTTGTCGAGGCGATCGCCCCGAGGTGGGATTACAGCATAGTGCCAACGCGGCGCCTTCAAAGGCGGGCGTTGACGCTCCTTGCGTCGGCGCTTGCAGGGCAGGAGTACGAGGCGAACGATGCCGTCAAGGACCGCGTGGTGAAGTTTGCCTCTCTCCTCGAGGGGCTGCTGGCGGGGGCCGCGGCGGCCTCGCCGCACCTCCTCCCAGACAGTCGCACTTTTTCCCGCATGTGCAACGCTGTGGGGCTAATTTTGCACGACGTGGACGGTCGCACCGGGCACCAAATAATGACGCATCTGCTCCGACTGCGGCCGCCCCTGCACACGCTGGACACCGAGGCCCACATCGCGATTATTCGTTGCCTCTCTTCTCTGCGGCACGGATGCACGCTGTGGGAGGAGGCCGTGCGGCACTACAGGCAGGCCGTCGACTTCGTGGAGGACGCCAACAAGCACAACCCTGTGGGGGCGTCTCATCGTCGTCCACACATCCCCGCTGATCTCTCCACCGCCCGCCTGCTGCGTTGCATCGGAAGCAGCCCTCTGCCTCGTGAGGCAAGGTGCGCGTTGACGCTACGCGTCGTTGCCTTTGCTCGGGCGTCCGGGCTTTCTTTGAGCTCCCAGTCGTATTCCTCTTGCCTGCTTAACTTCACATTGCGGGAACGTCAATGCACGGGCGCGTTCACGGGCGCTCCGTGGTGTGATGCTCTGGAGTGGTACAACGATGCAATGACCCGGATGCAGCAGACGCCCCCGCCGCAACAGGATCCTTTGTGTTTTCAATTGGCATGTTTACAGAGTTTACTCGCACAGGGTGAATGGCCCGAGGCGTTGCTGTCAATCCCGCTGGCAGACATTCTTCGCCGCCACGACGATGCGGCGGAGTTTGGCTTGGACCGTTTCACTGGGAAGGTGTCCTTCCTGCTGAGGCTCTGTGCGTCCGACCGAACACGGAGCTGCGCCGGCGCAGCGCGGTCGTTGCTCAAAGTGCTCCAGCCCTTGTCTTCGCCCAAACCAGGGACGCAGGCGGTAAACCTGGCGGAGATGCGGCATTTGTGTCGAGTGGCGAACACCCTTCCCCCCGTGCACGCGGAGGCGAAGGCGACGAGCGGAGTGCCGCTCTTTCGCCACGAGGCACCGTTGATTCCAAGGTCCCCGGTAGAGATGGGCGGCGCATGGACGCATTCGCCGGGGTCATGTGCTCTTTCTCTTCGCCGTCCCTGCCACAACCAGGAGGCGTTGCTGGCGAAACTGGAGGACACCGTTTTCTTGGGCTTGCATGGGACGCCAAGTCACGCTTCTGGAGGCGTTGGCGGTGATCCGCTGCGGCCCTTGGCGCCCCTGCAAGTTCGTGAGCGCGTGTCCCGTGCGTTTCCGCTTCTGAAAACCGTGTGGTCGGCGGAGGACGTGCTGAGGCGGGAAGCTGCGGCGGCGGGCGAGGGGGCGCGCTCGCGCATGGACACCTGCTACGCCAGTGTCATTGTGCCGCTGCGAAGGCTTGAGCGGCTTCGCGCGGAGAAGCGGCGTGGCATGCGAGGCCGCCACCCCGCACCACGGCTCGCCTGGGGCGTCAGCGGACGGAAGGGACCCCCCAAAGTGCAAGAGTGAGGGCGGGCGTCCACACGCGAAGGAGCGAGTGGGAAACAACAACAACAACGAAAAAATAATACCGGGCTGCGTTGGGTGCGACGGGGCCTCACGTTGCGCTTCGGGCTGTGTTTACGCGTGCGTGCTGCGCCGAATGCGGCCTTCTGTGTCCCGGTTGCATCTACCACACAAAGAGGAGCCGCCCGCCGATATACAAGGCCCCCTCTCCCCCTTGGAGAAAAAAAACGAAGGACGGCACATACACACACAAAAAAAAAACAGAAGCAAACAAAAAAACAGAAGACATCAAGAAAAAAAAAAGGGCCACGTACCGAAGTAGATGTTGCGTCGTGTTCGGTGTTTGCGGGCCCCTGTTTTTTGTCGCATCGTCGATATTATGCGGCAAAACGAGCCGTACGCGCGGCCGGGGATTCTGTACCCTATCCGTGTGGAGCTGGGGGCGAAGGTGGAGAAGTGTACGCCGCGTGAGCTGCAAGACATGATAGACAGTATGCTTGCCCGCTCCCAGCGCTTCGCAACGGTCAAGACGGGAATGGTGTACAACACTGATCAATCGGTGGCGACGGAGATCAAGGCGTATGGGCGTTACGTCATCACAGGCAACATGCGTGGGGGGTACATTAAGGGCGATCACCGCTTTGGCCCGCGTTTGACGGGTTACGGGGGCGCCACGACGAAGCCGGGGCTGCGATGGAACGGAGACGACTTGTGATGTGAGTGTCTTCGAGAAGGCTTCTGTTTTTTTTTGTTGTTGTTTTTTTTTGCTCTGGGCGTATATATATGCATGTATGCACAGCTGTTGCATTGCGCTCGGCCAATGCGCTGGCTGCCCGACCACGCCGGAGGAGCAGTGGCGATAGTTGACCTGCGGTGACTTCCTTCAGTGAGTGACGACGACGATGCTGACTGTGAGGGGGGAGGGGGCGAGTACCCCTGTCCTGCGTGCCGCTGATTTTGCGTCGCTGCGTTGACATGTCGTTTCAATTTTTGTTTTTCCGTTTTTTTGTATGCTCCGCATCTCTCCCGCTCTTTCCTCCTCTTTCTTATCCTCCACCTCTTTTGCGTTGTCGCTGGCGCTGCCTCCTTACCAGCAACCGGGACACGTCTCTTGGAGAGGGAAGTGGGGAAGAAGAGGGGTGGAAAAAAAACTAAAAAAAAAATCTGGGCCGAGGGACATAAGAAGCAACAGCGGGGAATAGCTTTGACTGCGAGTCCACCGCGTGGGAAAGAAGGGAGTGAGGAAGGAGCGGCGGACGACAAGGAGAGGGGGCAGGGATATGATTGTAGAGGACACCGCTGCGGCTGAGGTGCCGACCGTTCGGCGGGTGCGCCGGATGCGCACGCACTTTGAGCGTCTGGTGCGCCCAGCCGAGGTGCAGCCAGGCGACCCGATGCCCAGCATTGAGGGGTGGGTCCTGTTCCTCACAAACCTGCCGCCCAACACAACCACTGACCACGTCCTCGATCTCTTCCTCACCTACAAGAATGACGAGGGCGAGGGGTATGCCCCAGTCCGCGAGGTAAAACTGCCGCTGGACAAAAACTGCTCTTGCCGCGGCTACGCGTTGGTTGAGCTGGAGCGGAAGGAGGCGTTTGAGCGGGCGCTGCGGGAGTTGCAGGGCATCGTGTTGCCCTTCGCGGAGGGCGAGCCGCCGACGGGGGAGGAGGTTTGGCGGCTTCAGATCGCGCCGACCTTTTTGGGCGAGGAGGACGGCGACGATATTCCTTTGGCGGGCGAGAAGCGGTCCCTGGAGTGCACGCAGTGAGCCGTTTGTTGGATGTGGATTTCTCACACACTTCGTCTGCCTGCCTGTCTCTCTCGCTGCGTGTGTGTGTGTGTGTGCGTGGCTCTCTGGACACCCACTTCTTTCAAGCAGGTCACCTCCATTTGTTTTCGTGCGAGAGTAATCGGGTGGATGGCGGCGGTAGCAGCAGCAGCAGCGAGGTGAGTAGTAATAATTCTCCCAGGGAACCAAAACGGAAAAAAAAGGAGAAAGAAAAGGAAAAGGGGCGAGCATAATCCAAGGTGTGAACAGTGTTTTCGGCAGGAGCCGAAGGAGACGTTTAACGCCTCCTCCCTTTGCCCTTGGTATTGTAAGGAGGAGGGGAGGGGGGGGGGATAATGCGCGGCCGAATGTTTGCCGTTTATTGCTCTTCTTTTTCCCCACCACTTTTCTCGCTCTCGCGCGTGTTCGGTGTGTACGTGTTGTGCCTGCGGCTGCTTCCTCCTCCTCCACGTCCCCTTCTATCCTTACCATACCCACACCACGTGCACGCTGGTATATCGCCGACCCTCGCGCTTTGCCGCCTTACTTTGCCGCCGCCTTCTTCTGTTTCCTTTTTTGCTTCTTTTGCTTCGTGTGTGTGGGGGGGCGTTCGCCTCGCACGACCGCACATGGCGTGGTGTTGGAGGCGAGGGCGTCTACTTTGGCGTAGGGCCCTTGCCGCAGCGGGACGGACATCTTCCCTCTCCTGTGAGGAGCAGTCGAAGAATAGCGAACAAAATAAGAAAAAATAAAAGAAGAGGGCTCAGGAGGCTGATTTCACCACTTCGTAGATTCCACGCATTACCGCTTCCCTAATGTCTAACGGGGCAGCGGGTGGTGCTCCTCCCAAGCCACCTTCCACATGTGCGGATCGTGTGGATTCACAGCGGACAAGTCTGCCGTTTGTGCTTTTCGAACTAGTGATGGTGTCCATTTTTACCTTCACGTACTTTTTGATTAGGCGACAGCGGCGCCTGTCCGAATTGCGTGCGCAGCAGCGCCATGAGAGAATGGCTCGGGTTGACGTGGCGTTTGGCGTGAACGCAAGTGCTCCTGAGCAAGGCGGTGTGTAACGGGAGTGAACCGCTGGAGGTTCAACGCGTCCACGGAGCGTGGGAATTGCACCATCGCTGGAGTTTCTGCCACCTCTCGCGCTGATGCCGCTCATGGAGAGACGCGTGGAATGATGCGAACCTCTGACCGTGCGTGTTTTCCTTTCCCGTGCGCCCTTTCTTTGCCTGGGCATCGTGTGACATCTTCGCCGTCGTTTCTTCCCCCCCCCCTTTTATACACACACGCACGCACACTTTTCTCTCAGTGGTGGTGATGTTGCCGGCGGCAGCGGCGAGGGGACGTGCATGCGAGATGCCTGAGTGCTCTCCGCTTTTGTTGTTGTTGCTGCTGCTTGTAGCGTTTTTTTTTTTGCATTGCTGGGGAGGGGTCTCTTGGCTGCGCCTCGCTGCGTGCGCGCGGGTGTGGTCGGCACCGCTGCGGTTTGGCGATGATGCAGCGCCTGACGCGGCTCCGAAGCGACGGGGCCGTCTCCATCGACCTCGACCACATGCTGGACGCCACCGCAATGGCGCGCGACCCCCCCGCGCGTGTGGGGCCTTGCGCCACGAGTGCCGCCACTGCCTTTCCTCCGCCTCCTGCTGCCGCCGCTGCTGGTAACTCCACCTCGCCGTGCCCGCGCTGCCCGTCCTCCATTCTGACGGCGGACGAGGGCGACACGCCGGAGCACTTGACGCAGGAGGAGGCGCCGCTTCCACCGCGGCGGTGCGCCTTTCAGCGGGCGGTGGAAGCACAGCCGAGGCGCTTGGGGACGTCCCTGCCGCGGACCGGGGAGAGGCAGGCGGGAAGCCGCCAATCGCAGAAAGGCAGTGACAGTTGGAGTGGCGACGACGAACTCCAGCGGCAGCCGGGGCGACCTCGTGGGGAGAAGGCGGAGGGAAGCGCGTTGATGGAGCAGCGTGGGAAACGTCTTGCAGTGCGTACCGTGTCGCCCACGGGGAGGAAATTTAACGGGGACGGCGAGAGGGTCGTGAGTGACGCCGATGACAGGGCGGAGGTGTGTGGCCGGCTGCACGCGGAGGCGGCGCAGCTTCGGACCAGGCAGGGGGAGCTTCACCGACAAGCTGAGGAGGCACGGCGCATGGAGACGGAAAAAGAAATGGCCACCTCGCAGAGGCGGCGGCAAGGGGAGCGGGGCCACGACGATAGTCCTGTCCCCATGACCGAGGCGGAGAGGAACGAGCTCTTTGAGCGGCTCGCCATGCCGGTGCGACGGCGTGAGGAGGCAAAAGATGGCCTCTCTCCCAGGTGCGCTGCAGTGCGGGTCGGAGCGAGCGAAGAAGGGGAAGTTCAGCAATGCCTCTTCCAG